TAACTCATTTGATATATTTTAAATTAATTTAATTTTTTAAATATTTTATTTAAACTCAATTATTTCAAAACATTTGAAATATTGTGAAATATCTTATATTATTTTGTAAAATATTTTACATAATATTTTGTAATCCTATATTTCGCAATATTTTGCAATATTTTATATAATTTTATATTTTTTTATGGTTTATAAATTATTTCGTAATATTTTGCCCTATTAATTTTGCTAATATACTTTCCTTCCATATTATCTTCATTAAACTGAAACAAAGCTCTTGCAATAGTTTTTATTAACAATAATCATTTTGTGCCTATAGTTTTAAGACCTGGTGTATCTGTTCCACCAATTGTTAATTGGTAAACACAGTTTGCTACTTTAGCCACAACATGCTGGAAACTATTGATCCAAGATCGCATTATTCAATTAAGCAGCTCAACTAGTAAAACAGATCTAGAAAATAAATAATACATATTAGCTATATAGATTTAAGCAAGATTTGTTAAACACAAAATACTAATTTTAGAATAATTTTTATAATATTGAAATGCTTATATTTAAAATACTTATTATTATATGTATTTAATTATTTAACAAAAAAATTTTTTCATTCTTATATAATTTATATATTTAAATATTATGTGATTATACTGTTTATAAGATCACATAATTATATACTGCCCCTAACTGTCTCTAAGAACTGTTCATAGATTCTTTGCTAAAAAATAACGAAAAGTCTATAGACACATATGGGTTATATGATTTTGCATGTACCAATGATTACATAATATACAATGTAAGTTAAACCATCAAAGTAAAATTTTTCTTAATTTTGAACATAGAATTTTGATAAAAAAAATTCAATTAGATAGTTGTTAAGAAATTATCATTCAAAGTTTGAAAAGTTTTTAATGTCTCAAAAAAATAGCTACATAGAAATTTTTCCAAACTTTAAATAAAAATTTCTTAACAACTGTTTAATAAAATTTGATAAATATTTTTTAAAATAAATTTACAGATTATTGAAATTTATTAAAAAAATTTTTATTAAATTCTATTAAGTAGTTATCAAAAACTTTTTAAAAAAATTTCTGCTACCACTATTAAGAAATATTAAAAACTTTCCCAAACTTTGAATGAAAATTTCTGATGACTATTCAATAGAATTTGTTAAAAATTTTTTTTAAATAAGTTTTACTAATTTGTAGGATTTATTTAAAAAAAGTTTCATCAAATTCTATTAAACAATTGTCAAGAAATTTTTATTTAAAGTTTGAAAAAATTTTTGCCATAACTATTTTCTTAAGCTGTTGAAAAGTTTTCTAAACTTTGAACAAAAATTTCTTAACTATCTAATTATAGCACTTTGCAAAAAGATGTAACCCCATGATTTATGTGATGATAAACAAAGAAAATTTTTGAGATTTTAAATTGTCTATTAATTCATATTTCTGTATTTTCGATCAGTTATATCTATATTTATTTGAAATTGTGATTCTTAAAATCTACAGAATCTCTGATTTTCAAATAACATTGTTATCTGCAAAGGCACATCTTTTTGCCAAGCTCAATAAATTTGATGAAATTTTTTTTAAATAAATTCTACTAATTCACAAAATCTATTCAAAAAAATTTTCATCAAATTTTATTGGATAGTTGTCGAGAAAATTTGTTCAAAATTAAGAAAAATTCTACTTCGATAGTTTGACGTACGTCATATATCACGTGATCGTCAGTACGTGCAAAATCACGTGCCCCGTACGTGTCCATAGACTTTCCGAAAAATAAAATCCATAACGATAAAAAATAGCTCTTATAATTACCGCTATATTTAGCAACTTGTATACAAGATACACTAAAAATCTCCTTGCTAGTTTCTATTAATTCATTATTAATTTTTTTTTTATTGGTAAAGCAAACGTCTCTTATCCTTATTTACAAATTTGAATATCAGTCACACGATATTTCACGCAGATCACGGGGGTAAATTTTTTACTATGAAATTTGAGTGATCGACATGCATATGATGGGCTCAATTTTCATAGTAAATTGCAACGGTCACCTACTTTCAATCATTTATTTCAAGGGTTTCTAAAAAGGAAACTGCACTTATGACATGCATTTTGACAGTTCAGAAACTTGATTTCTTTATTATTTGCAAGTTGAAAATACAATACAAAATAAACCCAAGAAGAATGTGGCCTCTAAAAGACGCTCGTTGTTTCATATTATATAATATGGTAACGGCTTTAACGATCGCGGAATGTAAAAGTTTTTTTGGTTTTTTTGCTGAACTAACTTATTATTATAGTCGCCTTTTATAACGATTAAGAAAATAAAGGTGGTTGTTTTATTTTTTTTCTATTCTCTTTTCTCCATTTCTATAACTAATAACAAATTTTATATTTGGAACTTGATATAGAAAGCCGATTATGTTAGAAAAAGCACATTATAGTGTGATCAAGTCGGATCAGATCGCAAGTTATATTTTTAGTCGCAGGTGCAAATATATTTTTATTTAAAATTTATGTACTTTGTAATTAGATAATTATTATTGAAATAAAGTTTTTTAAATAAAATGTAAAAATTTTTAATAAAAATTTTTGAATTTGTACAATTACATAATTATTAAAAGTTGAATAAAGTGAATTTTCTAGAAAAGATAATCGTTGCCATTACTGTATTATAAGTATTTGTTCTCGTTATTTCTATAAAATATATTTCATTATAATCTCGGTTATATTGGCAATCTCGTGGTAATCTCGACAATCTCGGCCTTGATCTACTACTAAAATATGGTCTAATCGTTGTATATTAGTTTCGTAGTCGAATTGCCTATAAAAGACGTCTTAAACTCTCAAGCTTCATTAATAATTACAACCTTTTTTTTAAAAAAAAAAAAACACAGCAAAAATTAAAACATGGAATACTTATTTGAAGATTCATTTGATCTTGAAGACGACTTTAATCAAGAATCTGACATCGATGTTGAACAAGCGGTTTCAGATGAAGAATCTCTCGTTTTTGACTTGCATTCGTTGAAAATTTTGCAAGAAAAAATAACTGGATCAATTGAAAAATCTGAGGACGAATCGAGTGAGAGTAATGACGAATTCTCTGAAAATTATAATGAAACAGAAACAATTTTAGAAGAAATTGAAATACCGGTACCTCCTAATTCTAGTGACTCTATCAAGGTAACACGTTGCCCTATTATCGACAATAATGATGAACCAAGCACAATTCAAAGGTGTAGCAGAACGGCCGATATCTATGTGAATCAATTATTTGGTACATGGGAAATTGATTCTCTGGCTATACAAGAAATTGGAAATGATACCTCAAAGTTAAAAATCTGTTCAAATCATTTCAATTATGACCATAAGGTTGTACATGGAGGTGGCATAAAGAAGGGATACCCATCCACCGAAAGCAACATAAACTTACGTCGTTGTCTCTTTTGCAATAAATACAAGTATTTCTTCACAAGAGGTAAAGCATGCCCAGTGCATAGATGGAAAGTATGCGGACGCATAATTCAGGCTCCATGTCGCGGCACATTCAACTGCTCAGCAATTACTGAGTATAATAGTTTATCAAAAAAGTCGCTTGATAATGATAAACCTCGATTCGTTTGTGCAAACTGCTTTGTATCGCATGGAGGTCATCTACAGACTCGGCCAGAAAAAGTTTCGTGTGTGGAACGAGGACAACATAAATCCGATGCTGCGTCTTCTTTAAAGTTTTTTGCCAGGTGGATCAAACAAACTGCCGAATCGGGAGACGAATCTACAAAAGTGGATCTATTAAAAAAAATTATTAACCTTTTTAATAGTATCACTACCGATGTATCTAAAACGCAAGGTACCACTAGTGTATCTTCTACAACGCCCTCAATTCCGAGTTATTTTTTAATAAAAACAGCATTCGCTGTTAAAAAAATTAAAATTGAAGAACAAGAACAAGAACTATTGAAAACCACCACATGTAAAGCTCTTGGAAATATGCTTGCTAATTCTATATTGCAAGAACGGCCTGAACTTGAAAAGAGGCTATCATCGCTTGAAAAGCCTGAATCGTTAGAAGAATATTATGAAGCCATGCCAGCATCTCTTATCAACTTTTTCGCGGGCTTAGTTACCACTATAAAAGAAAAAAAATTGATGGGATTAGCTAGAAAAAGAAAAGAGAAAAATATGCCTCCTCCACAGTTAGATACAAAAAAAATCGATCTAATCTCCATCTTTTTCACATCCGTGACACTTACCATTGCTTTTCCTCATTGGAAAATATGGTTTACGCATATTCTCTCTTCTCTTTGCCGACGACCAAATATGTTAGGGGTTTTGTACAAAATTCTTCACACAGTTCAGGTAGTGTCGTATACTAGAGATCATGAAACACGTACTCAAAAAAAAAGAATGTCAGCTGTAGAACCTCAGTCAAGGCTCGATACAGGTTCAAATATTTTAAATATTGCAGCTATAGACAATATCGATACAAAAGACAAAACCTTTCAATACGGCAATATTTTCGACGCGGTTCGTTCTACTGCTCATGCGACATTGCGGATGGTCTTTCAATTTCAACGTTCAGAATTTGACTTCTTAAATACAGAATTAATAGAAGATCACGATCTCTTTGGCATAAGTCCTTTTATGGAAGAATGGCAAACAAAAGTAGATACGATCTTTAATCAATTAATTTGTAAAGGGTCAGAGTTTGGCATTGAAAATATTGATACAGCTATTAGAGAAAAAATCAACTCAGCAATTTTTGTAGCCCCTCCAAATGTTGTAATTCTTGAACCGGGAAAGGCACCAAGCGAAAATAAGCACGTTCACGAGGCTGTCGATAAGTTTTTAGATGATTTCGGTTATACGGAAAATGGTACATTAAACTTGGTATGCGATGAAGCAATTTATCGTCGCATGAAAGATTACAAGAGCGAAGAGCAAACAGTGCACTGCATTTTAGGACAGTGGCATACGAACAAGGCAATGTGCAGTGCATTAATTGCTGCCTTTTCGGGTTATGGACTCTTCGGGCTTGCTACACAACTTGGTGTTAAGTTTCTTGATAAATTTGCAAAAGTTGTTGATTATCGGTCAACATTTCGGGTAATCGAGTTCATTTGGGTGGCGGTAGGAGTTGCGATTCATCAGTATTGTCAGGAAAAAAATATTTCTATTAATGATATTTATAAAGAAGACAATAATATTTTAAAAGTGTGGTACAATTTTTACCAGTGGGCGGGATACTTGAAATTACATAAGCTCGGCATTCGAATGGCAAATTTCGACCTACAAATGCATAGTTTGATGGCATTTGCACCTTTATTCCCTGCTACAAGAAAATATAGATATACTGAATCCGTCGCTCGATTCTTATCGGATCTTCGAAGTAATCCACAATTTCTTCAAGATCTTCGATCCGTACCTTCTGTTAATTTAACACAGGAAGGGAAATCTTTGGCTCATGACGAGTCCCTAGAAACATATGGAGTAAAATTTCTTAAGGAAAATTTGACTGGTCGTGCAACAGATTTAGAAAATTTAAAGCTAAATATGAAAGCAGCACAGGCTGAATTTGATCGGCTTAATTTGTTGATTTCTGAATTTGCTGGAGGTCAAGTAGTAAACAAAAAATTACGATCAGTTAAAGGCCGTCTTGAAGCTCTATGGAAGCTAATTAATGAACTAAAATTAGCATTTAGCAGCCAGCAACCCGAATCTCATACCTTATTTGTAGAAACAACACAATTAACAAATAAGGATTATCAACAGATGTTTACCTCCTACTAAAAAAGGCATCAATAGATTAAATAATATTGTTAAGCAGGATATTCATAAAACTGCTGCACAAGTAAAGAAAGGATGAGGTATACCAGATATAACACCTATGAGTGTGCCAAAAAGTAAGAAGCATTCAAGAGAAGCTGATAACATGATGATGGAAATAGTTCCACAATCAACAGAGCTATGTGACGACATGGAAGCTGAAGTGACTAATGAAGACTTACAATCATCATCTGAACCTTCAGGATCCACATCTCAAAGACGTATACATACAGATGCGGAAGAAGAGATTCTAAAAGAACTTGAAGAATATAAAAATTCTAGTGTTTTACCTCTGAATGTCCTTAGTAACCTGGTTAATAGTTTGTTAGATATTTCTGAATATTGGACTCGAAAAAGGATTCGAGATCGTTGGTACAATCGATATAAAAGAAAGAATATATAGCGATAAATTCATTATATTATAGCAATAAATTCATTATTTTATTGTACTTAATTACTAAAATCGCAACTCTATCTTTTAGATCAAATAAAAATAATAATAATTTTTTTAAAAAAATTTTTTTGCAAACGAAGTTAAATAAAAAGCA